TCCCATAAAGAAATCCAGTGGGGCCTTTTATAAATATGACAATGGCTATACTCCTGCGTTTTAGTGGTAAAATCTTAATACAGTACAGAAATGTGAAAAATGAGAGGGATTTTTTTTTGCCTCTTGACTATATCAAAATATCATCTCCTGCCCCACGGCTCTGAGGACTCGTAATTCCCCTCTTGTAATACTCCTTTGTGTCTGCTCCCTCCCTATTCTTTCATAGTTCTTTATTTTTCAGTTCCTAGTGATCTCTTTTGTTTAAAGTTTCTCATACAGAGCCTTAAGCTACATAAAGGCAGTAAGTGCACTCATCTGTGCTTAATGTAATGCTATCATTCCGATGAACAAAACCTAAAATCTATTTTGGGAGCACCGGTCCCAGATTTTCAATAACTTAGAGTAACTTAAAACCTGGCTGGTGGTGGCACGAGGGTCCTGCTTCCTATTCAGTTCCATTTGTGTCATTTCTCATTTTAAGTGCTAGTCTTCAGAGAGAACGCTCTGGAGTCAGACTGCCCGGGTTCAAATCCGGACTCTACCACCTACGAGTTAAGTGACCTTGTGTAGGTTTCTTAACCTCTCTGTCCCTGTGCTTCCTCACTTGCAAAAGAAGGATAACATAGCCCTTACTTCATTAGGCCCTCATGAAAAGCAAAGGAGTTCATGCCTATAAAGGAATAGACCAGTGCTGGGTAAATAATACTAACAGACACCATTTTAGGGACTTTACATGTATAAATTACAGTTGCCCCTTGAATAAGGTGCAGGTCGGGGCACTGTCCTCCGCCCCTACCTTCCGTTCAGTCAAAAATCTGTGTATGACTTTTGACTCTCCCCAAACTTAACTACTAGTAGACAACTGTTGACCAGAAGCCTTACCAATAACATGAACACTCGATCAACACAAATTTTGCATGTTCTATGTATTATACACTGTCTTCTTACAATGAAGTAAGCTAGAGAGAAGAAAATGTTACTAAGAAAATCATAAGGAAAGGGGCACTTGGATGGCTCAGTTGGTTAAGTGTCTGCCTTCAGCTCAGGTCATGATCCCAGGGTCCTGGGATTGAGCCCTACATTGGGCTCCCTGCTCAGCGTGGAGCCTGCTTCTCCTTCTGCCCCTCCCCCACATTCTCTCTCTCTCTCTCTCTCTCAAATAAAACCTTAAAAAAAAAAAAAGAAAATCATAAGGAAAATATATTTATAGTACTGCACTGTATTTATAGGAAAAAAAATCCGAGTGTAAGCGGATTCGCACAAACAAACCTGTGTTGTTCAAGGGTCAACTCTATTGAGTCTCTAAAACAATAGGGTAAGATAGGTACCATTATTACCCTCATATTGTAGCTTAAGAAACTAAGGCACAGAAAGACTAATTTGTCCCATCTGGCCCAGTAGGAGCTGGAGGATTGGCCTCAAACCCACAGCAAGCACTCGATACATGTTCCTTATTATTGTTGGAGTTATTGCCTGAATTTATACACTCAATAATATCTGCTATTGCTGCTAAAAATGATGAATTTGTATGTCTAATCCTCCTTCAAAGTGTATAAAAAATGTATATGATCCCCAATGGAACAGTCGATTTTGGCAAGGATTATCACCTAAAGCCATTAGGTGACATTGGTTGGGAAGTAAGATACTACCACAGGGTCAAAGCGTCACCCACTCAGAGAACTTGTTAATTGCAAAAGCGGAAAAAGTACCTTTACAATGAGAGCTCCCTGGAGTGAGATCACTACCTCGAGCCATGATCAAACTGAGAGTCACAAATAGAGGGACAACCTGGCATTTTGTACCTCCTGATGAGATGCAATATGGAGCACCTTACAAAAAACGTTCAATTGAAATCTAATCAATGCTTAGGCTGAACTTGGGAGTTTACAGGAAATATAGGGGGTAAAGGACAAGTTAAATGACACCATGAGGCAACAATAAATCTAGAACGTGGGACATCCTACAAGTTAACTGGCCTAACCCTTTAAAAAAATCTAATGATCTAACATAAAGCCCAAATGTAAAAATGTGCTTTTCTTTATAAAAATTAGATCCTACTTTTTTTTTTTAAAGGCATAGACGACTTTGGGGGTCAGGTGGTGACGTTTAGATATGGTCTAAATGTTAGATCATATTAAGGAATTACTGTCTGTCTTCTTAGGTATAATGATGGTGTTGTGGTTCTACAGGAGAATGCCCCTATTCTTAGATGTGTATCCAATTATTTAGGAGTGAAGTATCACTTTTTCTGTAACTTACAAATAGTTCATGAAGAAATACACAAAGATGGAACAAATATGGCAGAAAGATAGCGGTTGGTGAGCCTACCAGGTGAGTATAGAGGTATTGATTGTACTAATATTTCAGCTTTTTTTTCGTTTGGACATTTTCTTCACTTTCTTCATGAATGTCTTACATCTTCTTTGGAGAGCATACGAGATTTTTATTCATGTACTTAGTAATAGATAGATAGATTTTTATTCATATCATATTCATTCATAGTTTCTTTTAGTTCTCTATAATGTTTGTGAATGCATATTTAAAAAGAATTTTTTAAAAATCACTTACTGAATTTTTACTGGCTCAAACTTATTGAAACCTAATAGTAATGTTGAAGAGTGTTTGGTGCTTAATACAGGGCCTGATACATAACAAATGCCCAATAAATGTTTATAAATGCTTATTTGTTAAATTTATTTTGTTCCTGAGAATTTTAAGGTCTCAGCCAAGAAAGAAAGAAAGAAAGAGAGAGAAAGAAAGAAAGGAAAGACGAAGAAAGAAAGAGAGAAAGAAAGGGAAGAAAGGGAAGAAAGAAAAGAAGGAAGAAGGAAGGAAAGAAAGAAAGAAAAGAAGGAAGAAGGAAGGAAGGAAAGAAAGAAAGAAAGAAAGAAAGAAAGAAAGAAAGAAAGAAAGAAAGAAAGAAAGAAAGAAAGAAAGGAAGGAAAGAAAAGGGACACATGAGGCTGTGTTCTTCCTTTGTGGATCAAGATATGCTTTAGCAAGTATTTGAGATGGACAAAATGGTGCCAATCAACTGCATCTTTTGATTCAAATAACTTAGGTCACAAAGATTCTTGACCACATTTTGAATTTGTTTTAGGAGAGCATGAAAATAAAGAATCTGGCCCTAGGACTAATCCAGCAGCAACTGTTACTTATTTAAGAATTCCTGATGGAATCACACTTAATGATACATTTTTGAACAATTGTGGATTTTTCTTGGCCCAGGAAAAGAGGCAAGTCCGGCTCAAGTTTAGGCGTGAGTGCTACAAGGCGTCAACACTCGCAGGCCTTATTCTCCGAGAATCAATAAACTTGTGGGAATTGGGGATCATTTCCCACTTTTCCAGAAGGCAATGGTTCTAAAAGAGATGGCTTCAGGCAGTAAGTGAGATATATTTTGTATAGAAGTGGAAAGAAAATGATCAATATTCAAAGAAATAATTAATAATGATACAATTTTGCATTTTCATGGTGCCTTTTTCCTAAGGCACGTCCTATCTGTGTGAGATCATTTATTCTCATAATATCCCTGTGAAGTAGACAAAGAACAATTGAAATAAAAGAATAAGAGGGATTTTCATCAGGACAAAAGATGTGGAAGATATTCAAAGGATATCGTATTAGCAATAGCGATATTACTCAAATCGAAATTGAGCAAATCGATATTGAGCAAATCGATAGCGTGCCTCCCCTCTGCTTCAGTAAAGTCATTAAAAAATAAATAAAACCTATTACAATTTAGGGAAAATAAGCTTACAGTTTACTCTACAGGAGACACTCCAAGTCCAATCCAAAAAGGTAGTTTTATTCAATGACACAGGCCTTCTCTCTTTACAGAAAAACAAAGTTCTCAAAAAGAGTACAAATCATAATTTTTAAAACTTGAAATTTAAATGCACTTAGATGGTTCTGTATTTACATAGTGCTCTTTATTTAATAGTGGATCCCCTTATAAAGAGGTTTGCCTTAAAATTATATTATGAATATTGTTTTATAAACAATACTGGGTTGTTCAAGCAGAGTCTACTTATACTAAATGTTCTTTCTGAAACCAAAAATAATAAAGAAAAAAAGGGGGACCCCACTAAAGAACTTATCAGTCTATGATAAATGCAGTTGTACAGAACAAAAGATGCTTCAGCCTGAGGTTTCCCACCCTCAGATGACATAACATGAGCACATGCAATCTTTTCCATTGGAATTTTAGATCTAAACATTTCCCTCACTTTATCTGGGGATGAGTATTTTGGGTAATGTGCAGATTAAGTTACATATACCTTATTAACAAGGCCTCATTCCAGGTGTATAAATACAGTATTTTTAAAGTTAGTGAAATCCTTGGTGGGTATACTCAACCCTCATATTCAGGAGTAGTTGGGGGAAAGAGCACAAAGGAGTTGTCTTCAGACTCAATGCCTGAACTGGACACCATCTTAGGGATATGGCACTAATTATTAATAAAGAGACAAAGATAGACAATACTCTCTCAAAACCCATTTCAACAAAAGGTTCTCTTTTTGTAAAGAAATCCAAAGTGGTGTTCTTTGTAAAGGCACCATAAATACTAAGAGAAGTAGAAATGTAAGTAAAAGAACAATCCTGGCCCCACAGTGCCAATGTTCATTCATTGCTGCCCAAACCTTCATCCCCATCCTCAACTGGGTTTCAATGCTGACTATGGAGAGGTGGGATTTCACCTCTGTAATGGGTCTAATGTCTCTCCCTGGGATGGCCCAGAAGCCAATTAGCAGGGAATTTTGTGTGCTGGGCTGGATAAGGAACAAGTTCCTTTGCTGGAAGTCGAATCCCATCACCACAAGCATTGTTAAAGCAAAAGATTTACAGACCTTCGCGGATGGACCAAAATATGAAAAGCAATATTTAGAGAACCCATGGGATTCATTTTCATTAGATTTGACTCATAGAGAACATTCTGCAAAGTATAAAACTGTTCAAGATCTCTAGAGTATATGGCCTGATGTTGTCTAATGACATACCTTTTTGAAGAGAAGAGGTCGAGTCTACGTCTTGGCTTTGACACCGAGTTAATAGTATCTTCTCTTCCAAGAAGGAAGACGAAGTCAAACACCAAAATTACTGCATTTCAGAGTGTAGATCCACCTTGTGCTGTCTTCCAAGGACCTCGCTAAAACAGGGTACGAGTTCACAGATCCATTAATAGTGCCTCCTCCTGCCTTACTTCTTACTCCCTCCTCCAAATTACCCCCAGTCAGCCCTGCAGTCTGTAGGCAAACCACACAGGAACTAGCAGACACAGGGCTTCAGAGAGTTGGGCGTGAGCCTTAGATTATGTGGTTTTGTTTTCTTGCTGCCAGAGTTGAACTAAAACGCAGGAGGTTCTCTGAAACACTTTTGCTTCTTTATGCTTGGTTTCAATTTTAACAATGTCCCCCCTGAACGATTTTGTTCACATAAGAAAACTTTGAATCCTAGAGATGATCCATCAACAGGCTGCCTCTCTGAAGGAAAACTCTCATTTTCTCTTATTACATCCAAGAATCCGGAGAAAAAAATTAGGACTTCTTCGGAGAACTTATTTAATACCACCCTGGGATCACGCACAAAGCTAAGATCCCAGAGAAAATGCTTTCTTAGTACACTCAGCCATAATATTACTCTTAATCCATAACATTACCCTTAACAAAAAACAAAAGAAGAAAAGCTCTGAGCCAGGATGACTTCTAACCCCAGTTTGGCCAGTCAGGCAAGAGCAAGGACTGGTTCTTTAGATCTTGGGGATTTCCCTTTCTCCTGAGTTGGTTAGGCTAAAGGATTTCTGGGATTTAAAGATTTTTCACTGACTTAAGGTTTTTGTCACTGCCAACTTCCTTAGTTCTTACTTCCGAATTTGTGAAAACCCTCCTTCCCCTTTAGGTTTCCATACCAAGTGCAACTTGTGAAGGCCTCTTCCTCTCTTTGCTCTTACTAGAAATGGATTGCCAACGATGCATCTTTTGCACAAAATAAGAGACATTGCTATCTACTAAGTGGCACCAGTCAGAGTTTGGGCCCAAGAGAAAGAGGGAAATGTTGGCTCACAGGATGTTCCCAGCATTAATCCCTTGAAGGCTAAGGAGGGTAGCATATAAGACTCAGTTTGGAGTTCTAAAATTTAAACTCAATTCAACATTATGAGATGATATCTTTTTTTTTTTTTAATCTTTTCACCCCCTTTATACCTAAATCTTGTTCAAAATTTCCTTTTTGGGGGGAGGATTTCTCTTTTTCTCAACACTTTTATTGAAATAGAAAAGAAGAATCTGGTTTGGAATCATCAGAGAATTTTGGTCACAGTAGTAGGTGCTCAATAAATATTTATTGAATGAGTTAAAGGGAGGAATTTGCTACCCCTAACTCCTTAATACAGGATTTTCTTTTTGTTAATGCAGGTTTGTTCAATTTTCTTAAATCCGAGTTGTGTCTGAACAGGGTCCTCACTATTTCCACATGTTATAAAGATAGAATTTTAATGGTAACAGCATGTCCCTGATTTTAAACAATAAACATCTTAATGTGGGCCTCAGTGTTCTTCAGTCTTCATGGTCTAAGGACGTTCTTGGATCCCATAATTATGCCCAGCAGCTTCATAGCCAGATGTCAGACACTGAAGTCCTCTGGCCACACTCCTAATCCCAAGTCAGTGGTATTGAAGTGATTGAACAGTGAGGCCCTGAACTCGCACAGCTGGAGAGTGTGAAGAAAGGAGAAAAGATAGTAGTTCTATAGAAAGTATCATGGGATTTTCAGCTTGCACCCTAATGAGGAAGCTACTTTTCCACAGGGTACTATCCCCCCAGGGAGCAGAATAGAACCCCTCCCCTTACAAGTGTGGGGCAAAACAGGAAAATCTCAAAGAGAAGTTATTTCAGAAGCAGCAAATAATGATCAACAGACGTGTTATAGAGCATACTGACGGGGGAGCGAGGCCACTCTAGTTTATTTCATGGATGCTCTGTAATTGAACAAGTGCAAAGGCAGAACCTAAGAATAAAGACTCTAATGTGAGAATGCCATCATTTCAGTCCTCACAATCATGGGATACTCAGAAAATATCAGCAAAATTGCGAGGATTCAAGGATCTGTGAAATGTGGACTTACTCATAACAGAGAATTTTCTTGAAAACCATACTCATTTACAATTTTTCAGCAATTCCTTTTGAGGGGTCATTGTTTTTTGTTTTTTTTTTTTAAGATTTTATTTATTTATTTGACAGAGAGAGACACAGTGAGAGAGGGAACACAAGCAGGGGGAGTGGGAGAGGGAGAAGCAGGCTTCCCGCCGAGCAGGGAGCCTGATGCGGGGCTCGATCCCAGGACCCCGGGATCATGACCCAAGCCGAAGGCAGACACCCAACGACTGAGTCACCCAGGCGCCCTGAGGGGTCATTGTTAATATCAGAATCTCTTGTACCTAATTATGTTTAATTTACCTTTATAGTAAAATGTGTACTTTTCATTCAATAGTACAGATTCAGACATTCTTGTTTCATTCATTCATTAAATGTTTGAATACCTAGTTTGTGTTAGGCCTGTTCTAAGTGCTGGGAATATAGCAGTGAACAAAACATAGTCCTTGCCCTCCTGGATCTTATCTTCTGGCAGAGAGAGAAATAATTACATATGTCAGATGGTTGTGCTACTACAGAGAATCATAAAATGGGGCAAGAGTTAGAGGAAGTGTAGCCCAGGTGGGGGGTTGTGATTTCATTGGGAGATCAAAGAACATTTGAGCTAAATCCAGAGCCAAGTGAGGCAACCAGCTTGATGGCTCTCTGGGGAGATAGTTTGCAGGTATAGGGACTAGCAAGTACAAAGCTTTATGGTGGGAGCAAGCTTGATGCAATGACTGAGGAGGAGAGGAGTTATGATGGAGGTCAGAGAGGGAGCAGGGGCTGGAACACATAGGGCCTTGTCGGCCATGGCAAGGTCTTTGATTTCATTCTGAGGAAGATGGGAGCAAATGGTAGATTCTGAACATGATCTAATTTGGGTTTTAGGTCTTAGAAGAATAGCTCTGATTGTTGTGTTGAGATTAAATTGTAAGGGAGCAAAAGCAGAAGCAGGGAGACCAGTTAGAAGGCTACTGCAATAGTCCTGGCAAGAGAAGGTGGCACCTTAGGACAGGTGGCGGCAAGTGGAGGTGGTGGGAAGTGACTGAATTCTGAATATATGGGGTAACCATAAAGTCTGGAAACATAAATGTTATTATTTTATCATGAATTAGAATATGGCATCAATAAACCATTTATCACCTACCAACCGCATTGGTGGCCACCCTGCATTAAAGGTGAGCTGATTATATGATGTGAAGTCTGAGAGACAAAGAGGGGCTCCAATGATGACTCCAAGGTTCATGGTCTGAGAAACCAGAAGCAAGAATGTGTCCTTACTCAGACAGGGAACAAGCTTGGAAGATCAGAAGTTTGGTTCGGGGCATATTAAATTTGAGATGTCTATGAGAAATACCAGTGGGGATGTCAAGATAGATATGAGTCTGGAGGTCAGGAGATGTTAGGGCTGGAGATAAAAACTTGAGGGCTGTTGAGAGACAGAGAGAAGGTTATTTAAAGTTATGAAACTGGATAAAGCCAACCAGGGAATGAATATTGATAGAGAACAGACCCCTTCAAAGTCGAGAGGTCAGAGAAATGAGAAGAAACCAGCCAAGGAGATGAGAAGGAGCAATGGTTTCCTGGAAACCAGGCGAAGAAAACTTTGTTCACTTTTATCAAACTCTGAGTTCAGGGGAAAAACACACCAAGTTATTATTGTAAAACCATGTCTGTATTTGGTGAGTGCAACTAAATTATGGTGCCCCCAAATGGAAGAAAGCAGAGAAGAAGAACCTCTCATATAATGTTACTTTAACGAAGTTAATTCCACTAGGTAGGTAACACTTTACAGTTTTGCTGAGCCTTGTCAACAACCTTTCAGATACACCCAAAGATTCCTTCTAAAAGGAGGAAATGAATGGGTTTAAAAAGGAAAAACTGGGATCTCCAATGTTTTCAAAATACAACAGGTAGATTTGTGACTGAGAATGTCAATGGAGGGGTGCCTGGCTGGCTCAGTTGGTGGAGCACGCGGCTCTTGATCTTGGGGTTGTGAGTTTGAGCCTCATGTTGGGTGTAGAGATTACTTAAAAATAAAATCTTAAAAAGAAAAAAAAGAATGTCAGTGGAGCTCAACATCAAGAACCAAAAGTTGGTCCTTAGGGGAGAGGAAAGGGCATAGAATTGGACACTGCAAATTTGGATCAAGTTCTAGCTAAATCGTTTGCTAGTTGAATATTTCTGAGCAATTCATGTGATCTATTTGTTCCTTTAAACTCAGCTCAAGTTCACCTCTTCCAGGAAGACTTCTCTAATTATGTAGATTTAGACAAATCCTCTTTTTACTCCCAAAGCACTTTTATCACAGAAACTTATTATAATTGCTAATTTATTTTTGTGTTTTTAATTAGACTATTACTTCTTTGTATTCCCATAGCTCAGCATAGTGCCTGGCACTTAGCAGGTGCTCAATAATGTAGAATGAATGCATGTTCCCCCAAATCAGCTTCCTCATTTGTAAAATGGAATAGTTATACCTACTTTTCAGAGTTCCTTTGAAATTTACATAAGCTATGACTCAAAAAAAAAATCTTCATAAACTATAACTATATAAACAAAATACTTGTTGTTTGTCCCCCACTCTTTTATAGAATAACACCTTAGCTTGGCATTCAAGGCCCTGAACAATCTGTTTCCCCGCCACCTTTCAAAATTCCCTCTGGCTACTATGCCCATTATTCTGTATGATAGCCAGCTACGCCATATTTCAAACACACCAACTTCTTTCATATCTTCCACAATTTTATATTATAATTACCTAACTACATGTCAGTATTGATCATGATGTCTGTTATAATAATTATGATTGAAGTAGTAGGAGCTAAAAACAAATGTTACTTTCATCTAGGAAGAGTTTTTCTATTGTCTAAGTCTTTTCCCTCCACCCTGGTGGAATATTGACATGTCCACACAGCCAGCCATACGCTTTTAAAACATGGGTTTGATTATATTTTCAATGCCTACCAGATAAAATCACCTAGCAGCACGGACAAGGTCTTTCATGATCTGACTTTCCTCTGCCACTTCCTCTCCCTCTGCTGTTCCACTAATAGCCTTTGAGACAGTCAGAGTAACTACAGTACTTGTAGTTTTACCAGGATAATAGGCTCTCTCAGCTTTCAAGCCTTTACACATGATGTGTCCTTTGCCTCTAATGGCCTCCTCCACTTTGTCTATCCACTGAACCCTGTCGTCCTTTAAGATACAGATGGAAAGTCTTCTCTGAAACCTGCCCTTAAATACTCCTTGGCAGAATTAGATGCTCTCTCCTCTCTTATTACAAGATACATATCTTGTCACAATCTTCTGTGACGGTGCCTGTCAGCTCCACTAACCTGTAAACTCATGCAGCATCGGACTCATGCTTTATCTCCGGGTCCTTACAGCTTGGTGGGGGTGCCTGGCACGTAGGGGGCACTCACTGAAGATCGGTTGAATATTTCAACGATGACCTATCACTGGAGCCCGAGGCCCTCCCTGGAGGCACTCCATCACTGCCCATCACACACCCTACTCTTCTCATCCCGAGCAAACTACCATTACCTTCTTTG